CGTATATGGCAGTTTCCAATCTATAACCTCTGTAATCAGTGCTTTTCAGTCATCCTTCGGTATAAACCCAAGGCGCATATATTTTTTTCCAACTTAAAGAACCAATTAATGCAATATTTGCGGCAAAACGTGGCCTCCAGCCGGACAACTTTCAGTGGCCGAGTTGCGCATAAGACAAAAATCTGAAACTTTTGTACCTAACACTTTTTGACATAACCTCAAATTAACCGTCAAAATGGCGAAAAACTCACTTGTCCATGTTGTATTGCGCCTGAGGGATGAGATAGTTCTCGATGACCGACCAGGCGTTGTTGAAAGGGGCAAAATCGTCGGCGATCGCCCCGTACATGGCGTGCAGCCAGATGTTGTAGCTGAAAAGTAGCCGATTAATCTTTGAGCGAAACAAAAGTTGTTCTGGAAAGTTCGAGAAAATCACCTGATGGCTTCCGAGTCGGTTTCATGGCCGTGATCCACAGTTTCTACCAGCATGTTCTCCAGACTGTGGTACGGCACCCCATGGCTTGAGTAGTAGCCGTTGTTCGAGTCGACGATTTGATTGTAGAGGGTGAGAAATCGTTCTGAATATTCCCCGGCATTGGCCAGCCCCAGGAGGAGGCAGGAGATTAACAAGCGCATTTTCTGCGGAAAATTCAACCGGTTACTAGCGCAATCGAACAGCTAATGCGGTCGCTTTCCCTGCCTGTCCAGCGGTTAAAACACCCCGACCCTCAAGTGGTTTATTTATTGTTTTTCAACGAAATTTGAGTGTTGTGGCCCATTCTCATAGTTTCGAGTGGTTTATTTACTGCACAGGAATGTGTAAAGTAAAAAATGCGTGTCCGCATTCAAGACACTTATAATCCAAGTGTTTATTTGCGCTCCCCGCCACTCAAGTAGCCCCAAATTTTGTTACTTTTTCCTATTTATACACTCAACTAATGACTTAAGAATTTCTGAGCTCGTGACCGACTTTGAGTATTTACTTCATTATTTAAACAGTTCAGAACAACAATTCAATGGCTGAGACTGAAACGCCATAGTCTCAAAGCGGGGGCTTTCCGAAGCTCCTAATTGGGGACTTTACCCTCATTTGCTGCCGCTGAAATTCCGCACGGTTAATGACTTAGTGCCCAAATTGACAACAGTGGCTAAAACATGTGGGAAACCCGCGCACGTCAGCCACAACTGTGCTGCAAAGGAATTAAGTTGGAAAATTTGAGCGTGAGTTTGGAAATTCCATTATGCATTGTTCTCATTTATCTCTTATCCGATCGCGATGTTCACTCAATTGGCGAAAATTAGGCAGAGGCTTCATTTTGAAAATCGCAAATCGAGAATATTATTACAGCTAAATGTTGTGTGTCGTTCTCTTTCCGATTCGTACAACTTTTTAAATTTTAAACTGGCGTTTTTGAGGAAAAATCTAACAAAAGGCGCTATTGTCACAGCGCCATCTCTAACACACACTTCACATTGCCCAAGCACTGTTTGAAGATTTTCACCATGTTTGAAGACCATTTCGAACTCATTCACTTTGCAGTACACTATAAATAGCTTGTTAACGGCAAATAATTTATTAATATATTGTGCAACGATTCAAAGTTCTGAACTTTAATTTAAACATGGAAAATGTTACAAGCGTCTAGGTATACTGTCCTGTCACTTCTATCGATTGCGGCGATTCGAACCAATCAAATAAGCCCAACGGTTTGTTGTTATCGAACGTATTGTTGACAAGTTCTACAAATGAGTTAAGACGATTTAAGGTTAGGTTTTGTTTATTGTTTGATGATAATTATTTTATAATTTGTCGAGATAAACAACCGCGAGTCTGCCAATCATTTTTTTTTCATTCTCTCGTGCATTTCGAACCTTACATAAGCTCTAGACAAAAATGAGAAACAAATAGTATCGTACAGAAATTCATAGGTAAATTTTATACGCTCTTGGCTAGTAATTTTTAATTTTTTAAGKGGGATTGTTTGAATTTGTTGGYACAAAAATAATAGCWTTGCCTTTATATTAGCACAAAGAAAGACAGTGATAATTATGAGTATTTCTTAATTTATAACAATTTACAAATGATTTATTCTGATCAACTTAAATGGGTATTAGATTTTGTATTCGTAGTATTTAAGTAAGCAA